ATATATATATATATAAATATATATATATATAGAAATAATCCAATTGAATTGGATCAGCGTACTTACTCTTGTGCTTACTACAGACGCGAGAGTCTTGCCGAGGTTGTCCCCCGTGGCGGGTGGCTGGTTCGTGGTGGGAGCAGGATTGGGGGCGGATGGCGCGCTGGTCGGTGCACCAGGACTATGACTATATTGCAACGATGCCGGGGACGGTGCACCGGTACCGGTATTCGCCCCGACTGCGCCGCTACCCCGGAATGTGGACATTGGTGGCAGTGAGGCCGCGCTGGTCACCGCCGAGCCCAGAATCGGAGCCGCCGGTTCTCCGTTCGGCGACATGGCCGAATACGCCTGAAATCGTCGACCAACGTTCAATTTCTTCGAACCATCTCTCTCTCTCTCTCTCTCTCTCTCGATTCTTAACGGATCGGAGAGGAGCAGCATCCGAAGCTCGCTCGTAAAACGTCTAATTTTAAGTCGTCGTGTTCGGTCGAAGAAGCGCCCGTGCCCTCCTCCTATTTATCAAACAAATTGGAGAGAGAGCTGGCGAGCAACCCCTCGCCGCCATTTCACGAGCGAGGAGGGACGGTAGATGATAGTCTCGCGAGCGATAACCAAGGAACGTACCGCAGGGCGGCGAATCGAGGAATCGGGAAACGAGGATTGCACGCGCGCGTCTCTTCCCAAACACAAAAGAATTCTTCCTCGCCTGCCGAGGAGGACGAAGCTTCTCGGAAGAAGGGGTCGTTAAACCGTAGGATCGTAAATGTTTAACCTTTGGACCGGAGAGGTCTCTGGAGGCTGGTGGAGTATGATGACGGGCGCAGCGACGCTCCGCGTCTTTTGTGGAACGTTCACCTCCATTATATTATGCATAATGCACGCCACTCCTCTCTGTCTCTCTCTCTCTCTCTCTCTCTCTCTCTCTCTCTTCCCCTTCCAACGATCCTTGCTTCTTCTTTCGCGTCGATTTCGAGAGGAGACAGTTAGCCTCTCGTGCTTCTCGTCTCAAAACTCGATCCGAGTTCGGGGATCAATTAGGGGATTGGCGAAGAAGAGAGGCAGGGAGGGAGGGGTGTTCGGAGTGCCGCCGCGAACAGGAGGATTTCGTGGTAACCATGAACGGCGTAAATCAAACGAAGGCTGCACTTGACTAGAAACACCGAGTAGCGGGAGAGTCGTTCTATATATAGAAGCCGGTGAGTCATTTGACGTTGCTCCGGGTACGCGAAGCCACCACTGTCAACAGTGTTTCTCAACTGGCCGTGGAGAGAGAGAGGAACTCCCTTGCTCGTCCGAGTAAAAAGAGGAGTCGTCTCGAGAGGTAAAGAGGGATAAGGCGAGGCCGAATCCGCGAAATTCCCGCGCTTCTCCTCCTCCTCTTCTTCTTCTTCTTCTTCTTTTTCTTCTTCTTCTTCTGCCCCCTCCCGTTTCTAACCGGGGAATGGAAACGGATTATTAAAACTCGGCCGAATCGATCCGACCCGATGAAGAGAGAAGACGAGCGAGAGGCTGTGGAGCGCGGTGGCCCTCCTTCTTCTCCCGACTCTCTGACAATGTCAAACGAGTCGAACGTCTTCCGAGGAGTTGGAGGAAAAATGGCTGCGAACCGGGCTGCTGAATTTATGGGCGCTGCAGCGGAACGCGTAACGCGGGGAGATTGCAATTTTTCACCGTCAACCTTTCCCTCGTTTCCGCGATTCGACCTCTCCTCCCCCCCCCTCTCCTCCCTCCTCCTCCCCGCGATGAAAATATATATCGACGTTGCGAAAGTTCGTCGGTGGAAGCGGCGTGGAATTCGCGACGAGCGGAGGGGGAAACGCGTTATTAACGAATCAATCGAAAGGAAAATGGGAAGGAAGGTGGGAAGGAAGAAGGGATGTTTTTCTCGAGAATCGAAGGGAGGGGAGGATTAGGATCGGCCTTTCAAATCCCGAGGAACGGAAGAAAGGGGCGAGAGAGAGTCGTCTTACCATGGGGTCGTGGGGTAGGTGCATGGGGTAGGCTGGTTGGGCCAGGTGTGGGGGTGCGTATCCGCTGTACGGGGGCTGGACGCCGCCGCTGCCCCCCGTCCATGGATCACCAGGACCCGTACCCGCGGCGTTCCCATCTGAAACAAGAAAGAAGACACGATTTAAATCGAATACCATTTATATCCCAGTTCGTATATAACCTCTCCGTAACCGCGCCTCTCGTTCGACGCAATTCGACGCAACAAATAGCGGCACGTGGCGCGTACCTCGCTGGTGTCGTCGCGCATGTGTACACGGATATAAAACGAACGCTTTTCACGAACGCGTATCGAGAGCAGAGAGAGAGAGAAAGAGAGAGAGAGAGAGAGAACCGAAAACACGTCGGAACGAAATTTCCAAGTTTGATACCCGCACAAAGGGTAAAGGGTAGGTGTATCCCGGCTTGGATATTCGGTATAAAGGGGCAATACGCGGCCCATTATTTCAGTTGAAAACAACAGCAATAAGGTTGAGAGGGGGAGGAGGGGAAGGGAACGTATTTCTTGATACTTTTGCTCGATATAATTCCGTGGCCGAGGAGTTTCCACCGCGACCGAGGAGGGAAGTGAAACTAAGCCAAACTACTCGTCCGTTCCTACTACCAACTACCTAGGCATTCGATGTCTGATAAAACTTTTTCCCCGTTCGCCACCCATTCCATCTCCTCCCTCCTCCCCATTTATAAGGTATTCCGCTCGCTTACCGGGTGTCACGAGCCGAGAACGTATTCGAGAAGCCGGCCAACGAGCCAACCCTCCTTACCCTCTGATCTTTAATAACAACTTTACCCGGAAACTTTACCGATCTTATTGATTTACCGCCTCGGTAATCCATCCGAGAAACTTCCATCTCTCTCTCTCTCTCTCTCTCTCTCTTCGTTTCCCCCCTTCGAAAATTTCCACCCCAAAGATATCCAACCGCGAAATTATTTAACCGATTCAAAAAGCGATTCGTTACGAATCGATGATCGTAAAAATATCTGCTGCCGTGATAAATTCTTCGTTTCGAAAACGAATTTCAATTGATCGACGAACTCGATCGCTAGGCATTGAAGAGAGAAAGAGAGAAAGAGGGAGAGAGAGAGAGAGAGTTTGGCGTTGGAATATAATGCCACGTAAATTACGTTAGGTATGAAAATAGAAACGGTCGGGAATATAAAGTTTACCCGTTCGGGTTGCACGATCGGGGAGGAAACGCGCGTGGATGCGGTTTCCCCCTCCCCTCCCTCCCCGCCCGATCTTTCCCATCTTTTCCCGCGAAATTTCAACGCGCAACTTGGGACGCGCCGTCGTTCCGGCAAATAACGAAAGAGAGAGAGAGTGTGTGCGTGTATACGTGTGTGTGTGTGTGTGAGAGAGAGAGAGAGAGAGAAAGAGAGAGATTGTTATTGTTTTTACGCGCGACAGGGGCAGAACGGCGAATTTTACGAGCGAGCGTTAAACAGTTGAATATTACTGCGATCGTAAACTTCCTTTTATCGTTCGTTCGAAATCGTTACGTACGCGATCTCCACCAGATATATAGACGCGTGTACAGGGGATCTACGCGCGAGGGGGCGGGAACACATGACGCGAAAGCCACGATCGAAGAACTGGATCGGTGCCCACGTTCGGTGCGACGGGTCAGATCGATCGGTTCGGCCAACGGAACTTGCCTCCTTGCCGTTTACTTTTAGCGATGGTCGGATTTCAATCCAAGTTCAACGGAGGCGGAGGCCTACATTTCCGACTGCGATACAAAAACACGTACAACGGCGACGCGAGGGGCACGGAACGATTTTTCCTTTCCCCCTTTTCTTTCTTTCTCTCTCTCTCTCTCTCTCTTTCTCTCATTCGCTCGCTCGCTACTATTATTATTTCCCCCGTGCGTAGTCGCGATTCCCGACGCAATAGTTACGTCGTTATTAAGTCTCCTACTATGAAATGCAAATTGCATTTTGCACGTATGGAAACGAGACTTACCGATATAGTAGGGATCTGCGTAGAGGGCCGCAGCTTTGGGAGAGGTGTATCTCGGCGAGTCCTGTCCGAATTCATCCGAGCCGTACTGCAACAAAAAGAACAAAGAGATTTACGGTTAACGGTTAAATATATTACGTTAGAAGAGTAGTGGGAATGCGAAGAGATAAGAAATACGCGTTCCATAATAATAACAATTTATTACGCGGTATAGAGACACCTTTTTTTCTCGAAAAAGTGCAACCAGATATCATTCCTCGCATCGTCGATTAATATCAACAAGTGAGAGAGAGAGAGAGAGAGAGAAAGAAAGGCGAGAAGAATGAAAACGGAAAAGAAAGCGGGGAGAAGAGAAGATAAAAAAAAAAAAGGAAAAAAAAAATGATTCGCCATTTCCTTTCGCCCATTTTTCCTTACCATTGTGTAACAGGCGTAGTCAGCAGGACGGATAAACATGTCGCGGGAGATGAGGACGAGGGGAAAGGGAAGAGAGAAGATGTGGAGAGCGGCGAGTCAGATCGCGCGGTGGGACAACGTAACCGGCGATTTGCCAGCCGAGGGGTTGAAGAACACGGTGGCGGTGGAAAGTGGCGCGGAAGGAGAGATTCGCGGCGGCATACCCTCGTCCCAATTTCGCCGTGATATATGTTAAAATATTCCGCACCGCTTCCCTTATTCTCCTCCCCTTCCTCCTCCACCACTCCTCTCGCCCTCCCCCGCCTCGCTTCCAAAACTTTTGTCCCTGCTTCTCCTCTCCCTTCGAGCCCCCCACCTCCACCTGCCGCAGCAGCAGCAGCACCAGCACCAGCAAGAGGAGGATGGTAAGCGCAGGAGGGAACGACGAGAGCCAAGTTTTCCCTCTAACGCGGGTACTATGGCCGTTTAGGCCAAATTTAACGGCTCGCCGGGACCGTGAAAGAATCCTGCCAACTTCCACTCTCTCCCCACCCTACCCCCTCGACAACTCGGACCATCTCCCCTCGCGAAAATCCACCAACTCTCCTCCCTCCTCCCTCCTCTGCCGCAGAGAGGCGAGGAAAAGAAAGAGAGGAGAGAAAGAAGAATGGAAAGGCCGCGCGCTTTCCCCGCGCTAACACCACCACCACCAGTCGTTCGATCACCGCACCACGAATCCAACGTTCCCGTGTACTTTGCACGGAGTTAATGGAAGCGTAAACGAGCGATAAGAAGTGGAGAAGGCGAGGTGAACCAGGGACAAGGCAAGGGGAAGGAGAAGAAGAAGAAAAAGGAGGAGGAAAAGGAAGAGAAGAAGGAAGGAATTCGATACCGACCACGCGAAGGACGACACGAGACTGCGAGACAAGCTTCGGCCAACCGTCACCACGCCGATTGACCGAGGCGGGGTGGTAGTGGGGGGTGCTTACGAGCCAATAGCGGGACACGACCAACTCCGCCAACGTACCGAGATACATCATCTAGATCCATCCTCTCGATATCGACGATTCTTTCCCTCGTTTCGCGGCAACGCGAATTTCACTCGTAATTGTAACGTATCGGTTAATAACAATTCTATATTCTAAGTTTTTTCGAACGAGGATATTTCGAGATATATATATATAAATCTTTTTTTCTACTTCTTATTCTCGTTATTCGATAGAAACGAAACGTCAGGAGGGGAGGAGGAGGAGGAAAAGATCGAAAAATTACGACGCGGAATCCAAGTTCTAAGAACAAAAGATCTTCGAGAGCGTTCAGAACCGCATCCGTATATCTCGCGGGGGAGGAACGGGGGCATATAATTGTACGCGATAAAAGCATCGGGTTTATCGGTGGCAGCAGTCGATAACGGACGTACAAATACGAACACCCACCTAGGGTGGGGGCATGGATGGAGAGAGAGAGAGAGAGAGAGAAAAAAAGACCGCTGCTAATCGCGCGATAAACGCTCTCGGCCTCTGGACCTATTAATTTAAATGAATTGCTTTGACATCGGTGGCTTCCTCGTGCATAGGCGCGTTGCATCCGACATTCGCAACTTTGTTTTCCAATTCTGCGTGCCGGGATTTATTATGATAATTGTAAAAAAAAAAAAAAAAAAAAAAAAAAAAAAAGGAAAAAAAAATAAAATCTCTCATAATCTCTCGTAATGTCTCTTCTCGTCCATCCTGAAGGGATCAAAGAGGCGACGATCGAGGAAGGATTCGCTCGAAATCGAGATCGTAGCGAACGAGAAGACACCGCGTGGCCAATAATTCACGTTTTATTTCTGAACCGACCAGGACGATGGCGGTGGATACGCAATAATAAAAATGTCCGGGAAACCGGATCAGAAATCTTAATATGTCCACGGTGGCGCGAGAGTCAGCGATTTCCAGCAGCCAATATAAATGTCCTACATTGATTTAGTTCTCTTGTTCTCCCCGGGTTGCGGCCGGAATGGAAAAGAAGAGGAGGGGGAGGGGGAAAGGACGGATGGAAACGTCTCCGTCAGGGAAATTAGCTCGTGGCCAAACGTGGTTGACGAAGAAGGGCGCTACGCGCGTCGACACCACGTCTTCGAGGAAAATTGACCACGTGATGCCCGTCTCACGTTCTCGCAACGGCTGTTTCGTCGTCTCGATGAATAATTTCCCTCCTCTATCCCTAGGATCTATCTGTCTATCGTTACGTCATCGATTTCAATTTAAAAGGGAAAGGAAGGATTGCATTTTTCGCCGATTTTTCGCCGAAATCGGCCGTTAAGCGAGTTAAAGTTTTTCGAGAAATTTCGAAACGACGGTTGGATCGATCGAGCTACGATTCTTCTTCCCCGTTACACGTGGGCGGAAATGAGTTTAAAAGCGGAAAGAAGAAGACGAGCGGAGTCGTGTAACGAGCAACTCGTCGATTACACCCTTATTAATCGCCGAGACACACGAGTGTTCCCTAGAGTGGGGAGGGGCCGAAACCAGGTGTCCCCTTCCTCGCCTTCCCTCGTGAGAATTTATTCCTTTATTTACCCCAGCGCGCTCTCTACCTGCATGCGATCGCTGCCACGATAAAACCATTCCCGCGATCCAAGATCCTCGGAGAATACGGCACGAAACGCCGCCAATTTCCTTTATCCTCCCTTCCGATTTTTTTTTAAACACCGTCCGAGAGAAAGTTGGAAAGTTTCGTCTCCATTAAACTGCCTTTCCTTTAATCGCGATTCATGCGCGATAAGCGCGATAACGCTATCTGTTTAATTAAATTTCAACGGAAATTCACCTGGAATGCGTCCGTGGAATTATTTATCCGTCAATTTTCTTTCATCCCTTCGCATTGACTCTTAATTCGAGATTAATGCGATTTGTAAAAAAAAAAAAAAAAAAAAAAAAGAAGGTGTTAAACGGTGTTTAACACCGACGACCGACGTGTCATAAAACTGTGTCGGATAATTTCTAACGAGGCTTCTCCTTAAACGCGCATTCCCCTCTACTCGAAACGTGCTGTTGGCGAATCGCGGACGACACGTATCACCGTCCGTAAAAAGGAAGGAGGAAAAAAACCTCCCCCCTCTTTCGGAAACGGAAACGCGAAAAGCGGATAAAGATGTTCTCGTACGAGGTAGTTATATGTAGTGAAGGGGAGGGAGAGAGAGAAATAAAAATTTTACGCGACAAAAGAATGTGGGAACGTTCGTCGGGTAATTCTCGTATTTTCTTTTTCGGAATTTACGTTTTCTTCGACTCGTGTAGAACAAGGTCCCGATGGGTTCCCATGGCGGGAAGGGAACGGCCGGCCATAAAGGAAATACCCGTAGATGGAATAGGCATGTTCTGACACAGGACGACTTCCGGTTCTGCAATTTCGAACATCCGCGACCGATAGAAATTGAGACAACCTGTCTTCTCCCTCTGTCTCTCTCTCTCTCTCTCTCTCTCTTTCTCTTTCTTCTTCGTCAACCACGTGTTCCGTCAACTTTTTTTCTTCTTCTTCTCTTTCTTTTCTTTTCTTTTCTTTTCTTTTTTTGCATAATTTCGAAGGGAGAATTAACGAGATGACGATGAAAAGAAAAGGGGGGGGATGGATGGGATTGGCGACCGAGCATATCGAACTTTACACTCAACGAAACGAAACGAAAGCTATTCGGTATCTGGCGCGCGTTCCGCGGCTCTGATTTCGCGGAATCGCTTTTATCGTATCGTAGAAAGAGGCTAAGCGGCGGTGGTGAGAAGCGTGGCGGGGAGGGGGAAGGGAGGGAGGGGGTCAGGTTTTGCAAAACACGCGATACAATGCCATCTAATATTTGAGATTTCATTAGTGGACGTTATTCTATCCGACATCCGATAGGTTGTTGTGCTGACGCTGAAAGAAAAACTTTACAAATCGCTCTTGTTTTACGTCTTACGAATATCGGGTGTCTCTCCGACTCGCCACAAGAACAAGAAGAAGAAAAAGAAGAAGAAGAAACACTTTTTCTCGCGAGAGAAAAAACGTTCCTTCCCTCTCCCTCCTTCGACGACTAAAAACCTCGGTTTCAAACTAAATTTCCCTCCTTGAACAAAGAAGCCGTCGGCAAAGATACGGTACGGTAAACGCGAGAACAAAGAAAGAGGGAGAGGGACAGAGATAGGGAGAGGAGAAAATTGATCGTAGTAATCTTGGTCAGATAGAGAAGGATCGAAATCCTTCCCGTTTTAATTGGCACCCACTAATTGGTAATTATCAGGCGTACCCACTCGTGGAAACGGCTGACGTAAGAGGCTTAAGGCCGTTTACACGGGATGGAGGATCCGGCGGTGGCAACGGTACCAATACAAGCGGGCCGGCGGGTAAGGTGTACGCGCGGTTTACAACGTTCCAACACACAGCGCGCAGGTGTGCATATGTAATTCCGAATGGGTGCCTCGGCTAGCAGCGCAGCACGTGAAAACAGGGCTGAGGGAGAGACGATCCACCGCGTCTCTACATTATTTATTACGCGTATCGTCGTCCTCGCGTATATAGTTAGAGAGCCAAGACACAAACGGCCGCATAATCAACAATTAGTCGGTTGATACGGGCTACGTGGATCGGTTTTTAAACCGGTCGAGGGCTCGATTAATAAAACGCTTAATACCCCTCGCTCTTCGACTCGCCCTTGCAAGAATGGAATAGAATGGA